CTTCACAAAAGTAACGGATACATTCTATTGAATCATCATCGCCAAATCAGATGTTTTATTTGCTGTCCATTAACGGTGCAGAAAAGGCTTCTTGAAAATTATCTACTATTTTTGGGCTAACTAAGCGAAAAGGGCTTGTTGATCATTATCTACTATTTTTGGGCTAACTAAGTGGATTTCTTGATGACACCTTTCTGTAGCACCTCAAAATTTTAAGGTTCATTACCATAAAGTTTACTTTTCGAATGATATCAAAGAAAATAGTCCTACCAAATTAAGTCTGGTGTTGCTGCTGGCTATTTAATAAGTCCTCATCTGTCACATCACCAATCAGAATCATTTAATTGAAATGTTCACGAGCTGGAGATGTATAATGTGGAGAAGAACTGTCTTGCTACAAGCAAATTATTATTCTCTGTACAACATGATTTTATATAAGATACATTTCATTTCGAAGAAAATTTGGGTACTTCACCATCCAGCATTCCCTCGAAGAAGTGTGACCACAAACAATTCTAGAACCCATTGAACCATCCAAAACATTAAGCTTTCAAAGATGTTCATGGGAATACGTTGACCCGGTCCGTAGGCCTTGCAACTAGGCATCTCACCTGTATCTATCTCCACCACTATCAAGGAAATCCCTACTCCTCCGAGCTCTCCCCACCCCCCGTGTAGGCGACGCGTAACGTCGATCACACGAAGGGACGAACCAGTGGGCTAGAAGACCCAATTTCCTTTATTGATATTATTTTCAACAGTTACCTTATACAGATAATTTCATACATTACAAGTATTAACATGCAAATGAAAATAATCCTAAGAAGTGGAGAAACTGACAATTCTACTGTTCTTGTTAGCCCCAGCCAACCCTTATACCCAAACATACTATACTGCGAATGGAGTTATGGAAAATATAATTACCGATTCAGTGGCCTGCCCTGACTGAGTAGACCGCGACCACTCTCCAATAGTAGTTCCAGCTTTACGTCAGTAAGCCGGCAGCTTACCACTCATCCTTCCCTCTCATCCCTCACCAGATTCTCTGCCCTTTCATTAACAAAACTTATCCATTTATTTGGTCTTCCGTTCGCGTCCCTCAGTGTCAGTTCTCCATTCGTTCGTTCCATTTTCTTTTTTCATTCACCCCATCTGATTATGTCTCCATTCATACATTTCTCCATCACATGTTATGCCGTTTCAGGCTCTCCATAGTCACAGGGGCACGGCACCCCAAGCCCCAGATTCAATCTTGCCAGGAATTCCGGAAAATTGCCATGCCCCGTGAGCAGTTGAACAGTTTTTCGCGACAGATTCAATGATTCATATCTGACGGTTTTAAAGAACCTGTAGAACAGCCGCCAAGTCATGCCACTCTCCCATTCCCGTTGCCATTCTCCCATGTTGCTTTCTTCAATTATTTCTCTCTCCTCATCCTTGCTATCCATTCTCCCTACATTCCATACCTTTGGCTGCTTCTTCATGGGCTCTTTTGTTGCCTACATTATTATCATCCTGTCACCTCCGCCACTCTACCTGGGTACATGCCCCCTTGCACTCTTTTCCTCAATCATACGTTGAATCATCGCTACCCTTTTATTCTTCACCATGCGCATGTGCATACAGTGATATTTTGAATAACCCAGTAACGGCAATTTCGTTTACTAACTGTATAATTCAACCAAAATGTCGCCTCATCATAAAATACGTTATTTCTAACTGAAGAAAGCATAATAACACATTCTTCATCCAACATCAGGTAGCACTGTTTGACCATCTCATCGGTGGGATTAAACTGAACCCCGAATGCATTGTTGAACCAAAAGATCTTTAAATCACAAAACTGACTAGGAAACGTAAATGACATCTCTCCTTGCGGAGGCGATATTCAATGAATCGACAGAAGACTCAAGTCATGAATGTATTTGATAGACGAGACTATGCAACTTTCACTACTTAGAAACTAGTTTGAATCAGAGCCCCAAAAATAAAGCATTAGTGATCGAACACCAAGCATCACTGTTTCGATCTGCTACAGGTTCTATCAGTGGTGCTAGGTTCAAGTCATGAATGCATCGATGGACTCAACTGTCATTGAAGAACAAGCCTGAATAGTAAAAACAAGTATATCCCCCCTTACAAAATCACCGTCTATAGGATCGCCTCTGGACACCTCGTTCATCAATGATATATGTGAAATTTCTTCTGTCGATCTTAGGCGGCATCTTGGTGAGGGGTGATATCGTATTATCCCCGACAATTGTGCTAGACGCGGATCATTAACTTCATATATAGCTCTGGGGGTACCACAATCATTAGTACGAAACCAGATCAGGACATGGACCAATAAGAAGCACACAGAGTACTGGACAAAAGAACCTGGCAACAAACCTGGCAACAAACACAGTAGAACCTTCATTAGGGAACCGTCCGGGAAAAGAACCGAAGAACTACTTCAATATAGTAGGGATCGGCTCAGAATAATCACAGGGTTACCAACCGGTCATTGTCCGCTTAGAGGACACCTTAATAAAATGGGGCTGTACAACGAAGACCTCAGCTGCAGATCATGCAACGAATGGATAGAAAAATGGATAGAAACAGCTATACACATCTTATGCTAATGTGAGGCACTGAATCACAGGAAGCAGGCAATATATGGACGTACAAAATTACGTCCAGAAGAATATGACGAACATCCAATACGGAACCTGTACAAACTAGTACAGGTGTCATGAAAAGATGGAAGAATAAACGCAATGAGCCCAAGAGGCTGCAGTGTTTTCTGGAGACTTGGACTAAATGGACAAGTCAGACAGCTCCCAAGCGACCAAAAACAAAAAAATACCCGACAATTATACAATTAATATGTGCTTTTTGCTGACAAGTCCTGCCTTAGGCTTGTGTGTCAGTTATTATGTTGTTGGTATTCAGATCAATTAAAGATCACATTTCGAGTTCAGTAAAAAAACTCCCAGAGAAGGCACATACCAAAAAACTCTCGTTGTTCTCGAAAGATCCTGTAATACCTTCCAGGAGTCAATAAGGTCGTTGATCGACCTCAACATCTCTCCCATATTTATCAAAGAGTTCAGCTTCTTGAAAGCTTGAGAGATCTCTCTTCCTTGCTCTACCATCGCGAAGGGGCCCTGCGGGGGGTCGTGTTGCTCAAGAGGGGCGTTATAAGTATAGGAGGTGACCTTCGTTAGCATGTAGTTGCTGCCTTCTCTATGTGCCTTGTTCTTATTATCCTGTCTGTTCCAATGACATCTTCGCAGCAGCTGCTCGGGTATTTGCAACATCTTCGCAACAGATTTTTCCTTAAGTGGGTTTCCTCTACCCCAAACATTATTCCGTGAGACCGGAGCTGGAGTGACTGTGCTATTTACTATTAATTTACTTTCAGTTTTAATTTTACTTTAGAGAGAGTGGTGCTTAACCATTAATTTGGTTTCTTTCTTTATTGTAATCTGAACTCCAGCTAAACAACCCACACTAGGAACGTAACAATATATAACCTTTTCATAAACACTCTCGGTCTTGCCATAATTTTACATTGTATGAGAGGCAGATCCGGTGTTTAAAAAAGTCTGAATCAAAAAAATCTGTTTCTTCCTGAAGTTAGAATGTATATTACCATACATAGGTTTCGCTAGGTATTACATTACCAAACAATCTCATTAGAACCAACTCCCTGAGCGTAGCCCGGTCTTTTGTATGATGCACATCATCACAGTTTGATCCGCATGAAATCAAAAATATCCTCAAACAATTCAGGAACCGTGAGATGCTTCTTAATTGGAACTCCACAAAATGAGGAAAAATATGATTAAAAGTAGTATAATACACTACAAAAATCCAAATTTATTTACCGGGTCTTAACGAGTCTATTAGGCAAGCCATAACTTCCTGAGTATCAGATGTATCAAAATGAGAAGTTGTTTAGGTAAATACCATGTAGATGGAAGAATAAATTGAAAGCGGTATATTTTTAGAAGGGGTTGATATTCGACGAAAAAAGGTTTTGGCCTTCTACTTGATACAAGATTCCTTTGGCTGGGATTTAATCAAATGAACGATTGAATGTCATTACGTACTGTCATCGATGACATAAATAGATTGAACTCATTTTGTAACAAAAAGTTGTAATTTTATGAATGAAACGAGTGTTTTTTTTATAATGTTATCCAGATTAGGTACTGAAGAGCTGATAAAGCAAGTGTCTTACGGCGAAACATCGGATGTCTACCAGTGAGAATGACAGTGTTCCATATGAGTGAAATTTAACCTCTTCCATTTACTATATTGTGTAGGAATCCTGTGGATGATATCTGCTTCAATTCCATAACAAATGTTTGGAATACACACTAAATAGAAAAAAGAGCTTCGTGAATAATTCAGTTTTCATATAAAAGTGTTTGTTACGAAAGTATTTTTCTTTCGGGTAATTGAATGAGGGTTTCTCTTCCAGTTTGTGTCTGAAAGTTACTTTTTTGCATGATCTACACATCTCTGTTTACAGTTACTTTTTTAAATTAATTGCCTCCTTCTTTTCTTTGGAAGATTCCCACATTTTTGTATCAAGATGGAGGAGTAGAAAGCTAAAACCTTTCTTTCTCATATATGGAAAAGTGTTCGCATACTTTTCTTTTTTCGGCCACTTCCAGGTTTCACTAGAAATGGCTGGGATTTTGAATTCTGAATAGAACTTCCAGTATACTTTAAAATTTTTGCATTTCAAAGATTATTTTGGATCTGAGAGTGACATTTTTTTAATGTTTTTCTAAAGACCTCAAGTCTATTTTAGTAAGTGAGGGAAAAGTTTTTCAGTAGTTTAATCCTACGCCAGAGGTTTCAAATTCTTCACATCAATTTTCTTCGAGGTTCTATATTTTTGAAACCATCCTCAAAAATCACGAATATCCCATGGTTCAAATCGTTTTGCATTGGATGCTCTTCAGAACAAATGAGAGAGAAATTAATGAGCAATAACGTGTCACCTTCTTATTCACAGCATGCAGTACTCTTGTAGATTCATCCGGCTTCAAGGGCCGTATCCTCACTGCGACCATCAGCCGTTCTTCAGCCCCACGTAAGGGCGGTTTTGACGTGTCACTACCCGAACTTGAAGGTGTTCCAGGTGTCATTTTTTCACACATAACTCAATCACAATTCAAAGAGTCGCATTTAGAAATTGATATTTATCGTTTATGTCCAGCGCACGCGATATTTTCCTTAGCTGAGCACGTACCAGCGGCCGCATTGAAGTTCTGAATATTTCTATTTCGATCATGCCATGCTGGTATCAGACCTTTCAGGCATGGTTACCAGTGGCAACAACGGTTCGATAAAATTCATGTTCGAATGTTAAAGAGTTTCATTTCAGGGACGACATTTGCTTGGCACTGAGTTTTATTCGTAATTAATTCGTAATGATAAGAGAAATTTCTCATATCAAAATGTAATTTCCATAATACAAGGTGTAAATTTGAAAAGTTCTCATCTGTAACGCCACACTGCCAGAAAATTGAAAAGCTGAAAAGACACGTAGATCTTACTTTCAAGAGAGCAATTTCGATAAACGCATCATTCATCCCTTGCGAAAGGTAGGTAAAAAGGTAGCAAGTTATAATAATTCACTATTGAAGAAAAGAGAAATGAAACTTTCTATGTTTTTTACCACTTTTATTTGTAACTAACGTTACTGCAGTTTCATCCTATACGAACATTTTCAAACTTATACAATAAACCTATTATTGTATAAGTTTGAAAATGTATAGGACATCATAATGAAAAAAGAGAAATGAAACTTTCTATGTTTTTTACAACTTTTATTTGTAACTAAAGTTACTACAGTTTCATACTATACTCATTCAAACTTATACAATAAACTTATTATTGTATAAGTTTGAAAATGTCCGTATAGGACGAAACTGCAGTAACGTTAGTTACAAATAAAAGTGATAAAAAACATAGAAAGTTTCATTTCTCTTTTCTTCATTATGATTTCCTACCACGTAGTAACGGCTACATCCATCAATTCAGCGGCGGCTCGTCAGAGGAGGCAAGGGAGGCTTAGGCTCTCCATAAAATTTGAGGCTATTCATCATAATAAATCAAAAGATATTGACAAATAATTATGATTATTTTTTTTAAATGCTTGGGTATCGTTAATTTACAATTAATTTTTAATATAAATACATAATATGCCCGAAAAAACACTATCACTCACTACATAGTACGTACCACACTGTATCCTGCATCAACAAACGTCAAGCGCACCGCTCATGAACTAATAACGAATAAACCATCAACCCGAAATAATAAATGTCATACGTTGCAAGGGAGCCAAGCCTATGATCGCTTTAAAAAACATAAGTTCCGCCAGATCGAACCAACCAGCGACATACGTCCCGATTTGTAATTTCAGTTGCGGAAATTATAGCGTTAGAGGAGGCTAGCCTCCAGTTGGTCTCCGTTAGTGTATGACTGCGTTTGTTTTTTATTTAATTATTTGGATGGGATGCTGTGACGGACCGGGACTGAAAAATATTTCGGTAAATCGTTTCAGTGTTTCTTGATAAAATTTGTGTATAAAACAGGCAGTATTAATGTGTTTTCAAAGTGTTTTCTTTCAATTTGAAGGTATTTTCAGGTTTTCACTTTTCGGTAAGTTTTTTTTCCATTTATTATGGATGAGTTGGACGAAATTAAATAATTTTCCGATATAGTCGATTGGTTGCCGACAAATAATTTTAAAACTTTATCTTATGATAATAAATTTTACATTATTAAAACTCTGGGAAGGCCTCAACCAAATTTGATTTCAATTAAAGCGTCACATAATCGACAAAATCGAAGATTTAATATCAGTTGGTACGATAAATGCGATTGGTTAACCGGCTACGTTAAACGAGAAAAACTTTTTTGTTGGCCCTGTGTTTTATTTTCCGTACAAACCGAATACCAAACGTGGTCTAAAATAGGATACTCCGATTTAAAAAATTCACCTCGTTCTACATAAAGACAATTTAAATGTAAGGAGCATATATTTTCGTCTTGTAAATTAGAATTGTTTAGCAAACAAAATATAGCAACAGCTTCAGATACAGCTCAAAAAGAGACCATAATTTCTTTCAATAATCAGGTTAGGGAAAATCGATCGAATTACGTATTTTGCTTTAAATAGGTGCGGTACCCCAAAAAATTTTCGCGCCTCCGGCGGGCTTTTCTGTGTGTATATAGTCTTTATGACTTTAGCATCCCCTGTTCTCCAATGCACGAGCCGTCACTGCATCAATTTAATTTACATTGCAGTGAAAGTTCACAAAATTAAAAAACATAGTTTGAAAAAACGCAACGGGCGCTTAATATACAAAAAATATGGCACAAAGCGCCCACGCTTTTTTCACAATAATACTAATATCTTCCGTTCGTTATTGTTTTAGGCTTTTTTTTATTATTTTCAACTTTTTAGTTCTATTTTCTTTGAAAGCGTGTTTCTTAGTTTTTTTAAACTATATTTATTTTCCATTTTTTAGTTTCGTATGCTATAAAAGCGTGTTTTTTAATCTTTTTGAACTATATTTATTTTATCTAAACTTTGGGATCAATCAGCTGTATATTGTTCAGAAAAATGACCATTAATATTTTTCGATTCCGGAGAAGGAGCCTCAAAATCAGCTACCAAGCCCAAGGAAGGCAGCAGGCGCGCAAATGAGATGCAGAAAAGAAATACATGTAAAGAGAGTTCGAATTATATCAAGGAGGTTACGTACAGCGCCATCTACCCGCGAATAGATCAAGTAATAATGTCGGTGATTCTGTCAAATACAGATCCCGAGCATTCGAACGGGAATAAATATGAAATGAAACGGAGAGTTACAAACAAACAAACATACATACATACAGGTGAAGCTAATAAAAGCGTGATAACGATAAAAAGAACTTGCTTGCATCAAAAGTAATAGTTTTCGAGTTGCCTGCTAAAAAAGTATATGCTGGTAACAAATGTATTTCAAATAGCTTCATGGAATTGGAGAAATAAGGGATTTATTTGAGCCCCAGCCCAAGCCCAAAGGTCTTTCGCCGAGCCGAGCTCTCAAGCTTTTTCGAATTATAAGAAGGTTACCCCTAAGAGGTAGATTTCAAAAAATACTAGGTAAAGATGTCTTCAAGTTTCTGACTGAATACAATCAGAGGGTCTAGCTTCCTTTTAATTTCCTTAAGAAACAAAAATTATTGGAGTTTTGTCCCAACACCAAGAGGAAGATTAAACAGTTTAATCTTCCTCTTGGAGATGATCACTTGGTATTTGAAACACGTATCGAGGTGTTGAAAATAACGGTTTGGTGTTGGGACTAAACTCCAGTAATATTCATTACTATACCAAAGGTTCCAAATAGTGGTTTAGATTAGGTTAGGTTAGGTCCAAAGTGAGTAGGTCTATTCGACCCTCCACCGCAACCCGCAAGGCTTCATTGTGGCCCACACCTAATCACACTCGACCAAATAAACCCAGCTTCTCAACGAAGCCGATTAGTTTGTACGGTGAGTGGTCTTTTAGGACAGATGGTAAGATACGGCTCTGCCGAACTATAAAAACCTGATCAGGTCCCCAGCGGGGCAGGCACAAAGTACGTGCTATGCTGTTTCATCATTTTCCAAACAGAGGCAACACACACTGTCTTCCTACAGTCCGAGTCTCTGCATATGATGATTCAAATGACAGTGACCTGTAAGAAGGCCTGTTAGACATAGTAGTTCATCCCTACTGTACTCCAACAACTGTTTGGTATCAAGCTTCGAAGGGTGAATAAATGCCTTGTGATGAGCCAGTCCTGGAAGATTCTGCCAGAAGTTCATAAATCTTCTTGCCATCCAGGTGTTCAATTTTGTAAAGCAAATCCTAAAGCGATGGCAATGTTAGGTTCTGGTCCGATTGCCTTTCAAGCCAGTATGGCCAGAAATCTCAAGAGCTAATCCACTTGTTTCAATGATGTGTTAATATCGCAGAAAAAATAGATTCGTTGTATCGCTGGTGTTTCTCGTACCTGTAGTTGTAGAGAGTCTTTTAAAACTCATCAAAACTCAACCTTGCCGTGTGTTTTTGTAATTGGTATTTTGTAATTTGAACTATTCAAAAACTAATAAGCAAATTCAGACTATCAATGCAAAACAACGAAATGACTTATATTATGTACCATTTTCAGGGACGAATATTTTGTGTAGGTCATCCAGTATGATTAGGCAAAGGTTGTTCAATAAACTTCCTGCCGATATTAAAGCAATCAAACAGTGAATATTACTGGAGTTTTTCCCCAACACCGAACCGTTATTTTAGCACCTCGACACGTGTTTCTCACCAAGTGATCATCTTCAGTCTGATCTTCCTCTTGAATATGATCACTTTGTGATCGAAACACGTGTCGAGGTGTTAAAATAACGGTTTGGTGTTGGGAAAAAACTCCAGGAATATTCATTACTACACCAAAGGTTTCAAACAGTGCATCACAAGTGCAATCAAACGATGTCTTTGGATGTACCTGTATTATTCTTAGTTTTAGTTTAATATTTTTAATTCAGTTGACTACTTTTTTTAACTCTTTTGCATGTCACTGAGAAAATAAAGTATCATTATTTATTATTACATATCGAAACTGAAGGAAGTAAATTAGTTGTTTATCTGGTGGAATGAAAGCTAACCTACAGAATGGTCAAAGCAGTATCTAAAAATAAAATTTATTCTGAAAGTTATTTCCATATTTGCAAATTTAACTTTTCAAAATTATCAGAAAACTCAGTTACTGTAGTCAAATAAGGGCCAAAATTCTCAAACAAATATCCACAAACATAAGCTGAAAAAATTAACGCTGAACTCAATTTTTCAAAACGTCTGTCGAGGAAAATATACCCGTTTTTCTTTGACGTGCTTTCTACAAATGAATTTGTTGGATTTTGAGAACGAAAAATGTTTTTTTATCTTTTTATTAATTCTTTCACAGGTAAAATTTGTGAATGAAATAACTCAGAAATTGGACTCTCCAGTGGTTCATATTACTCATTCACTTTGCAAGGTGTACTTTTCAGTTTCCTCTTCATTACACTACAGCAAATTCTCTAGTGAGTTAGCGTTGTTTTTTCCAGATTGTGGAAGGGTTAGTATCCAGAAAACTTCGAGAAACAATTTCATCATTGCGAAAGGTAGATATTTACTGCAAAATTTCAAAGTAAATTTTTTTTTACTGTCAGCATTTTTTCAAAAA